GTTTTTTTTTTTTCTTTTTTGAGACAGGGTGTTGCTGTGTGGCCCAGGCTGGCTTTGAAGTCTAATCCTCCAACTTCAGCCTCTCCGAATGCTGGGGATGCAGATGTGTACCACACCTAGCTTAAGGCTCCCCCTGTGGTGTGCGGCACTAGGTACTGACCCCAGGGCCCTCACACCAAGCTGCATTCTCAGCCTTTTTGAGACAAGGTCTCACTGAGTTGTTAAACTGCCCAGGAACTGCTCAATTTTTTTTTTTTTATTCTCTGCTGCTTTAGCCTCCCAGTGTGCTGGGAATACAGTCCTGCCCTACCACACCCAGGTAAGATAAGGATGTTGTAGGAAGTGTACCAATAATGCTGCTGCTAGGCAGGGTGGAGCAAGCCTATAACCAGCAAGATGATAAGTTCAAGGCCAGCCTTGATTACAGAAAAACAAGACCCTGTCTCAAAGAACAAAAAATTACATATAATAACCCACTGTTACCTTAAAATATAATGCTTATTCCTCGATAAAACCACAGGCTATTCTTTTCTCTTGTTTGCCAAAGTGCTTTTGTTGAAGAAATCCTCCTTTCAGCCCAACTTAAGAATAGTTCACTTTTTTTCCCTAAAGTGCTAGGGCTTGAGCTCATGCCCTCATACTGAGCTACATCCCCAGCTTTTACTTTTTATTTTGAGATAGGCTGCCTGGCTGGCCTTTTAACACTCCTGTCCCGCCTCTCAAGTAGCTGAGAGTCCAAGTATCCACCATCACAGTGGGTGGCACTCCAGTCCTTAAGCTTCCTGCCAGGCCTTGTTTCAAGGTTAGTCTACCACAGCTACCTCCTGTCCCTTTCCTCTAGGAACAGCCACAGCTACAGTGTTAGAATGTTTACAAGTGAAAACATTTTGGCTTCCTCAATCCACAGGGTCTACATGTGGCTGAGACCTAGCCACAGTGTAGACTGGGTCACTGAGTCATAAGCAGGCCCTGAAAAAGGTAAAGGTGCTCTCACCTGTGGAGGAGGAGGCTGGGGAAGGTTACAGCAGAGGTCTGGGGACCAGAGGTGTCTATGCACTGGGGGCTGGGAGAGAACAAGGGCCACCCACAAAAAGCACCCCAACCATCCCACCTGGGACACTGGGTTCCAGGGTATGAAGTGGCTTCCTATGAAACTCACTGTCTACCGAGGGGGAACAGAAGAGCCAAGAAGGAGTCTATGCAAGAATCTGTAGATAGAGATCTTTTCTCTATCAAGCCAGCAGGGGCTTTGTTACATCCCAGGCATGGTTAACAGGCAGCTGAGGAAATAAACCAGTCATTAAGTAAACAACCAGGAGGGCTACAGCCAATCAAAGGTCCCCAGCCTGCATGCGGTCTATCACTTTCATTGAGGTGCCTAATACACTCAGGGCCCCCTGCAGAGGGGATTCCAGCTCAGAGCCAGGTTCTACTGGTCAGAAGTACCTGGCCTGCTTCCTGGACAGGGCCGCTGATTTTACAAATGAAAGCATTCAAGCCAAAAAAAATGACCTTTATCAGTTGGGCTCTCTCCGGCTAGATTTCCAGTCTTTGGAAATGTGTCTCAATGTTATCCTAGTCCTTTTCTTTTTCCTCTTGTCCTCATCTTCTTTCTTTCTTTCTTTTTTTTCTAAGCTAAGCAGCTTCCCAGCTCTGATAATACTGATACTCTCTGGAAGGACAGTGTGGTACACATTAAGGGTAGTCTCCAAAATGGTTGACTTCATTCGTGTCCAGTGCTCTTCCCTTAACGACAGAGGTTTTCACGGTCCACACCTCCACCCCAAAACATGCACAGCACTTGCACATTCCAACGCACCCAGGGCCAGGGATTTAGGACTCGGTGGCACACACGGCACCTGCCTGGCAAGTGCAAGGTCCCGAGTTCAACCTCAGGTACCAAAATACATACATACATGCATGCATACCCACATGCCCCACCCACAGAGTTCAGATCTGATGGGGAAGTTCTCTCAAAAAACCTTTTGTCAAAGCCAATCCTTTCAGAAGAGCAGAGAAGTTTAGATCTCTTATTGATTGAACCCAGGGCTTTTGCACTGAGCTACATCCTCAGGTCTCTCATTTATTCTTGGACAGGTTCTCATTATGTTGTCCAGACTGGACTCCAACTTGAAAATTGTGACCCTACTTCAGCCTGCTAGAGCGCTGGGATAACAAGCAAGAACCGGTCAGGTCTTTGTTAGCTTGTTACAAACTACTCATACTGCTGCCTGTAGGGCCCTCACCTCAGGCCCTCAGGATGTAGATCCCCAGCCCCACAAAAACAAGCAGCAACAAAAGACCATCAAAACTTTTGTTTTGCCAACAAACAAGGTCATTCACAAGTTCCCTTCCATACATCTCACAGTGGGTAGGTATCCAGTGTCACCCAGTGTCACCCTCATTCAGACTCAGCAGAAGTGGCTGCAGGCTGGTCACACCCTACTGCTTGTTATGGCCGTGGCCTCACACACCATGCTAACAACTGTCATGACTGTTACTGACCTGTTAAAGGTTATGGACACGAACAGTTCAACACATACTGATAAAATAATTTCTCAAAAGGAAGCTAACATTTTGGGGGTTATTCAGCATGTATTTCTCTTTTTTAGTACCAGGAATTTAACTCAGGACCTTGCACTTGCCAGGCAGGTGTGCCGCTGAGCTATCTCCCCAGTCTCAGCACTCTTTTTTTTTTTTTTGCAGAACCAGGGATTGAACTCAGGCCCCTGCACTTGCCAGGCAAGCGCTTATCCTACTGAGCTATCTCCCTGGCCCACTCTTATTAATTTTTAAAAAAACATTATGTATTTAGTACAGGGTCTACAGGGTCTCACTACTCATACTCGTAGTGATCCTGTTTTTCAGCCTCCCAAGTGCTGGAATAACAGGTGCACACCATGACACCCAGTCTCAATCATTGCCTCAGCGTACCCCGCAGGTGGGGCTGGCACAGCACGCGGGGGATCGAACCCCGAACCCCAGCTGCTACACTCTGCCTAAGCAGGCACTTCAGTCTGCTGAGCTATCAGGCTGGCCCTTCAGCATCCTTATATCCATTTTCTGCTTCTATTTCAAGAGTACATGGAACATTTATGGGAGTGACTCCAACTCCTACCTGTTCTGGTCCCAAGTATGGCATGGAGGATCCTGGCCTACTCACCCCTCGTTAAGCGGAAGATAGTGACAGCTCCGACAGCCTGACTTGTTCAAACCACTGAATCAGACCACATCCCCCAGGATCACTGGCACACAGCTCTTTGGCGCTGGCCTTCCTGCTCCTGAGCCTGTCTTTCCCCTCTGCCTCCCTTACTCTGCTCTTCCCTAGCTGTTAGTTGTAAAGCCTGCTTCCCTCATCCAGGACATCACCATGCCTGCCTCCTCTTGTTGCAATCCACTATTCTTTTACATAAACAATAGGCCTTCCATCTTCAGTTACATGCATGACAGTGATTTACATTTGCCTACCTAGAAGGTGAGCAGCTCTCAGACCCAGAGCTCATTAAAAATGTAAATTATAGGCCTGGGGCTGTACTCAGTGGTGCAGTACTCACCCTGCAGCCCCAAGCACCTGGACACCAGCACAATCAATCCCAGAGGCTCAGAGGTTCCCATGGGGCATGGCCCCACGGCTGGATGGTCCTCTACTGCCATGCTGCTCAGACCCAGTCCGGAGACCAGCAGTAGCCTTTTTGTTTTCTGTTCTTGCTTTTTTTTTTTTCAGTCTTTTTGAGACAAGGTCTCACTATGCATTTCAGGCTGGTCTTGAGTTCAGTTTGTAGCCCAAGCTGGTCTCAAACTCACCATCTTCCTGCCTCAGCCTCCCTAGTGCTGGGATTACAGGCATTTATGAGCATGCCCAGCTAGCAGCCTCCTTCAGCAGAAATACAGAAAAGTGCAGCCCGCCCCATAAGAACCGGCATCTTCACACAAGATCCCTGAGCACAGCTGCGCTCAAGTCCTGGAGATAGCACCTGGCTCGGAGTGTCTCCCACTCATCTGGACCCACAGAAACAAATTATTATTATTTTGCTTTTGTTTTGTTTTTGAGACAGGGTCTTGCTGTACAGTTCAGGCTGCCCATGAACTAACTATATAGCCACGGTGGCCTCGAACTTTTGGCAATCTTCCTGCCTCAGCCTTGCAAGTGCTGGAATTACAGGTGTGTATCACTATGCCCAGCCAGAAAAATATATTTTATCCTGGATATCTAGCATACACTGTTAGCATCAGAAAAACAAAAAACAAAAACAAACTTCATAAAACAATGCTCCCAATAAAAAAATTCAAGGAAAAAACAAAACAAACAAACAAATAACCCCCCAATGCTTAATGTTTATTACCTAACATCCCCCCCCCCCCCCTCCCCAACCAGGGATTGAACTCAGGTCCTTGCGCTTGCCAGGCATAAGTAACTCTTATTAATTAACTTATTTGTGGTATGGGGGATGGAACCACAAATACTGAGCCTTTGTACTGAGCTACATACACAACCAGTCTTTTTATTTACTTTTATGCTTTTATTTTGCAACAGGGCCTAAATTGCTAAATTGCCCAGGTGAGGCTCAACTTTGTAACGCTCCTGTCTCAGCCTCCCAGACTGCTGGAATTACAGGTCTGCACTGGCACACCTGGCTTTCCATTACTGTTTTTTTTTACTCTAATTATCTTTTCAGTGGTGGAGAAAAGCACCCAGCGGTGTGTCCACGCGAGACAAGTGCTCTCCCTGCTGAATACTTGCAGTGGACCCGCTGTCATGTTGGTCACTCAGCTGAGCACCTTGCATCGCACCATTTGAAAGCCGCTGCACTAAGAGCTTTTCTTCAGCCACTGTGATTCTAAGTATGAGCAGAGAGCAGTCAGAACTGACTCACCCAAGGCAGAAGAAGCATCCATTTATTATTTCTCCTCTCTTATTCTCAAGAAGGGGTGTGGGGTAAGGGGTTGGGTTATCCCTATGAACAGAAGTAGCTTCTGCAGCTTTGGAAAGATTTGGAAGACATTTCCTTGAACAGGGCAACCCTCTCTGTAGAACTAGTGCATTTCTTCATTCTTTCTTTTTAAATTCTTTGTCTTTCTTTCCTTGTTTCTTTGGTACAGTCTTGCTATGCAGCTCGGTGATCATCCTGTCTCAGCCTCCCCAGCACTGGGATTACAAGCATGTACTACCAGGGCTTGAACTCAGGTCTTCATACTTGCCAGGCAGGTGTTTAGACCACCAAGCTATCTACTGGCCCGAGCTGGCAGATTTCGACTGGAAAGGAAGCTTAGGGCAGAGCTTGCTCCCTCTGAGGCCCCACTGGGCAGGCAGGGCCGGCACTCACCTTCCATGGGCGCTGCTGACTGAGTATCCTGCTCAGTGACCTGCAGGCTTACGGGAATGTCCAGAAACTTCTCATAGCAGTCTCCATACCACACAAGCAGCTCTTGGTTCTGGTGAATCTCCTTGCAGCTCTCATAAAATATTTGTCCTTGACACTGAACAGCAACCAAGTTCTGCTCCTTGGGGAAGCGGGCACAGTTGACATAAGACATCCAGTTCCCTGTCTCTCTTCCATCTATAAAGTGGCTCAGGTGGCCGTCTTGAAAGATCTAACGGAAATAAAACACAAAGCTCGGGTTTGTACTTTTTTCTTTTTTCTAACCTTGCAACATAGCAAGTCCTGGCCTTAAAAAAATTCAAGATATCTATACAGTATATACCAAATACATTTATCTATAAATCAGATTTCTATATCATCATTATAAGTAGTTTACACATCTCCAAGTACTGTACATTCTTGCCTTTTGGCAGGGTCTCATTATTTAGCCCAGGCTGGCCTTGATCCTCCTGTCTCAGCCTCCCCTGGCAGGCACTACCATGGTTAGAGTAGTGTAAATTTATTTATTAAAGACATCTCCATAGGGGCTCGTGAGATGGCTCAGTGGTTTAAAGCACCTACTTAGAACAAGCTTGGCAAAGCACAGAGACCACGGTTCAATCCCCAGCACCACATGCCAGCCAGCCCCGCCCCCTGGTGGGCTGAGCTGGCCACATACGCACACACACACACACACAAATTAAAAAAAAGACATCTCCATAGGTGATTTAACACTATAAAAGATTAATGCTAGGGCCAGGGAGAGAGCTTAGCAGCTTAAGCGCCTGCCTGGCAAGCATAAGATCCTGACTTCAATCCCCAGTACCAAAAAAAAAATAAAAAGCTTAATGCTCTTGCCAGGTGTGGTAGCACACACACCTCTAATCCCAGTATTCAGGAGACTGAGCGGGGAGGATTGCTGATTTCCAGGCCAGCCTGGTATACACAATGAATCAAGGCCAGCCTGAACTAGCACATTGAGACTTTGTCCTAAAAAGCAAAACAAAAATTAAAGATTCATATTTTCATCTTTTCAATTCCTAAATTTTGTGAACATATGCTAATTTCATAAGCAGAAGTAATAGAAAATAATTTAATTACGCCATTTAAAGACACATCCAAGAAAAAAAAAAGACATATCTTCTATCTTACATTCCTCTATACTGCTATTGCCATGCAATTGTCCTTTTCCATTGATGACTTCAACTCTGGCTCCTACCGCTTTAGTCCCCAGGTGCTGGGATACCACACTCTTTTCTTTTTTTTTCCACACTCTACTTTCTTTTTTTTTTTTTTAATTTTATTTATCTATGTGTGTGTGCGTATGCATGTGTGTGTGTACGCGGCCAGCCCAGCCCACCAGGGGGTGGGGCTGGCCGGCATGTGGTGCCAGAAGACTGAACCGCGGTCCCCGTGCTCTGCTTAGCTTAGCTTGTTCCAAGTAGGTGCCCTAGACCACAGAGCCATCCCACCAGCCCCTGTATATATTTTTTTCCACTACAAAATGATCCTTTATTTATATCCCCCTTTTTTTGTTTTGTTTTGTCAGAGATGGGTGTTCCACTGACGTTAGAGAAGCTATATTTGGAGAAGTCTTTAAAGGACCTTTTCACACCTGATGCCAGTTCAAATATTGTAGGTATTTGAATTCAGCAAAATAACCCAATATAGTTCAATAGTCCATAATAGTAGTGGGTTATACAAAAGACTGGCAATGTCAGAGGTTGCTGACTTGAGCCTTTTACAGCTCAGCATAGTAATATGGCATTACTTTTTATACATTGTGGTTATACTTTCCTGCTGGATGGTTAAGACCAAGTTAAAGCAAAACCTATATAACTAAAAATGTAACT